TTGAATGTGCGCAGCCTCCCGGGGCCTCAGGAGGGAGAGGACGGGGAGCGCAGGGTCTCCTGGGGGTCTTCCTCAGGAGACTGTCCTCAGGGATGCCGGGCAGTGTCTGGTCATGAGGGGGCCCTGGCAGGGCTGGGGAAGCCAGGGGCTGCTCCGCACCTGCAGGCCCAGGATGACCCAGCCCACGTCTGCAGCGCAGAGGGGCTGGCCTGGCCCTGGCCCTGTGGTGCAGCCGCGGGGTCCCCGGCCCCTCCTCCAGGCTGGATGCCAGTGTTCCTCAAAGTCGTACCGCCCGTGGGCCACAGAGGGCTGGGTCGGAGAGCCCTGCCCCTCCAGCCCGCCATCCCAGACGGCAGAGCCCACACACCCGTTTTTTTTTTTTCCCCGGGGGACCTGCCGGCCTGTCGCAGCTCGGCCCCCGCCCCCGCCCTGCCCCTGCCTGGAGCTGGAACAGCTCAGCTAACGGTGCCCCGCCAAGCCTGGCCTGCCCAGCGTCCACCACTGCAGCGGGCCTTGGGAGATGCCGGTTGGTCGGGCCCACGGGGCAGGGCCCCCATCTCCCCAGCCCAGGCTCAGCTCGGGCAGCCTCCTCCTCTCCTCATCACTGTCATTTTTTAGTTTGGTATAGAGCGTGCGCACTTGCCGGGCAGAGAGAGACAGGGAAAGCGAGCCCCGTGGGGGACGGCCGCGCCGCAGTCCCGCCTCTGCCTCCCTCTCGGGGTTTCAGACACGCGTGCACGCATCTGCCCTGTGATTTCCAAGCCGCCGGGTCCGGGACTCGAACTGCGGAGTTGCCTGTGGGGAGTCGGTGCCTTAGCCGCACCATCCGCTCACCCGTTTGTTACCTTTACTGAATTTATTTCTTCTATAGGGTCCCCAGACCACATGACCCAGCCCTGGTCTCAGCCCGGCTCACGGCACACAGGTACCCGCCTGCTTAGGCAGGGCCCGGGATGTGAACTCAGGACTTGCCCACGTGGGGCTGCTGGCCCCAGCTGTGCTACCACCAGGCCCCCTCTTATGTCTTTTTAAAAAGTATTTCATTTCTTTCTTCCACGAGACAGAGACAGCATGGCCAGCCCCCCAGCGAGGCCCTGCCTCCAGGGCCCACCCCCGCCGCAGCCCGCCCGTCACAAGTACACGCGTGTCGGTGCATGTACGGGGAGGTGGCAGGCGTGAACCCGTGCGCCTCATCTGCCCCCAGCTCCCTCCTAACAGGACCGGGGCGGCACGTGAGGGGCCCGCATTCTGGGCGGCGGCACGTCCCTCGCATTCCTGGCGGCTTACGCGGCTCCTGCGGGGCGTGCTTTCTCCTGGGGGAAGGGTTTGGGCCGGCCTGCCCGGCGTGTGGATGGCGGCTGCGGGCCGGCTGCGCTGCGGGAGCGGCCGCGCTCCCAGCTATGAGAGCTATGCGCGGAATTCCAGGGCTCGCTGCCTCCTCACGGCCAGCCTGCCCAGCCGGGACACCCCGGGCAGCTGCGGGACACTCAGGATGCCCGGCCCCAGGGCCCCAGCGTCCCTGCAGAGTTCGGAACCCGGCCTGCTCTCCGCTCCTCAGCTCTGCAGCCCCGCGGCCTCCATTCAGCCCTCCCAACCCCGTGGGCAGCCAGCCCCCCAGTCGTGCCAGGACACCTGGCAAGGCCCAGCATCAGAACTTGGGTCTGCCCTGTCCGGGGTGCTGGCCTCCCTCCGGGCCTGTCCAGCCTCCCCTCCACCCCGGGCAGGGCACCCTGGCCCCTCCTCACCGGCGCATGCTGGCCGGGTCCGGTGCCCTCCCGCATCCCGCGAAGTGCTATTTTAGAGACCCTCCCCCCCAGTCGGCCGGGCCTCGCCAGCAGACCAGCCTGTGGTGCACCCGGCCGCGGGCAGATCTGCCGCCCTCCTCCCCCCACCTTCCCAAGCTTAGCTGGCTTCTGGGGCTTCCGAGCTGCGCTCAGCCCGCCCGCCTGCCGATCTGGCCGGTACCGTCACACGGCTCAGGGAGGGCAGCTGGTGTGGGCTGCTCCCCCGCTGACTCGGCACTGCCGTCCACGGGAATCAGCACAATTGGGGGCCGTGCGGCGGGTGTCGAGCCCCGGCTTCCCGGCGTGAGCACGTGTGTGCAAGTGCACACACATACGTGCACACAGATGCATGCACGTGCACCCACACATGCATGGACATACGGGCATGCACTTATGTGTATCTGCACATGCACATGGATGCATGCACATGCACACAGATGTGTGTATGTGCACATGTGCAAACACCTACACAGATGTGCATTTCATGTATACTCACACATGAAAACGTGTGCACACACATGCACAGTACACTGGTGGATATAGCATACACACTGGCCTGCGTGTGTACACAAGACATGTGTGCGCTCACATGCATGTGCTATGTGGTGCACGCATGCATCTGTACATGTATGTGCCTACATGTGTGCAAGTGTGAGTTGGTGTGCCGCGTGTACGTGTGTGTTCACACGCGGTGGACACACACACACACACACACACATGGATGCACATGTACTCACACCCCGTAGCTCTCCCTGGCCTTCCCTGGGGGCCCGGCCCAGAACAGGAAGCGCCCCGCCCGCCCGGGCCTGCGGGTGGGGGAGCAGGGGTCCACGCAGGGCGGTGGTCCCAGGGTCCTGGTGGGCACATCTGACAGACGCTAAGTGGACACCAGGCCGTCCAGGGGACCCCGGGGCCAGGCTGTCTGCTCCCCAGGCAGGACTATATTTAGCGCGGAGTAATTTGGACGCTTTCAAGCTGAGCCGAGGGCGGTTTTCCTGAGCTGGGTGTCTGCGGCTGCTTGGAAGCCGCCCGTGGATTGGCGCTCGCCCCACGTGGCCGTCCGCTCAGTACAGACGGCGGGGGCCTGGCCGGCCCCAGCAGGTGGGTGTCTCCCAGAAACGGGACTCCCTTTTCTTCATTCACTCTTACCAAGGCCACACAGCCAGACGTAGAAACCCCTTACCGCCTTCCAGGGCTGAGCGTCAGACGGCAGGGGTAAGACCGGGATGTGGATGGGTCCGGCCGCCCTCGCCCCAGCCCGCGGTTGTGTGGACACATCACGGGTGTGCCGCGCTCTGCAGGCCAGTCGCCCGCGCAGGTCCCCCGCCGCCGTGGCCGGGATGTTCATGACAGCGTGCCCACACGTGAGAGGGGCCCCCACGGGTCTGGCCACACCACGCTCTCCCTCCCCCAGCCCCGGGCCGAGGATTCGGACCATGGTCACCTTCTCTTGAGCAGGTGCGGCACCCGGCACCCGGCACCCGGCACCCGCCTGGGCGCCTGCCCGTCCAACCCCACCAGGCAGCTGGGCCCCCACGTGGCCGACTGCACAGGTCAAGTCCTAGACCCAGCGGCTTGAAAAACACACAAAGCGTGTGTGTGCCCCCAGTTCCGGGAGAATGGAGGAGAAGGGCCTGCGTGGCCGTCCCCGGGGGCGTTTCTCACTCCCTCTCTGCCTGGCGAGCGTGCCGCCTGGGCGCCTGCCCGTCCAACCCCACCAGGCAGCTGGGCCCCCACGTGGCCGACTGCACAGGTCAAGTCCTAGACCCAGCGGCTTGAAAAACACACAAAGCGTGTGTGTGCCCCCAGTTCCGGGAGAATGGAGGAGAAGGGCCTGCGTGGCCGTCCCCGGGGGCGTTTCTCACTCCCTCTCTGCCTGGCGAGCGCGCGCTTTCTAGCAAGTTTGTAAATACAGACGTAACAGGTGTCCGCCCACGACCCGGCAGCTTCCCTCCTTCCCGTTTATCCCGGAGATAAACACCCGCGTGCATGGTGCACACGGGTCTGAGCACTTCTCCCGGGAGGGACAGAGGCCAGGGTCGGCTCGGAGTCCCTGGTGGTTGGACACACCGCGGCCCAGCCACACCGCAGGCAGAACTCAGCAATAACCGGACCGAGGGCTGATTCGGTCAACGGAGACAGCGGGGCAGAGCCCAGAACACCACGGGCCGTGGTTCAGTTCACATAACCGAAACGACCCGTGTCCAGCCACGCACAGGAGGGGCTGGAGCAGGGCCCGGAGTGACACGGCCACCCGCCGGGATCGCCAGTGCCCTCGGGAGCTGGGGAGACAGGAAGGAGCCTCCCAGGAGCCTCGGCTTCTGGCCTCCGGGCCCCAGAGGGGTTGGGTGTCTGTTGTGTTGTGCACCCACATGTGGTCACCTGTCACGACAGCCCTGAAAGGCTGCGGAGGGACACCGGAAGGCTCTGGAAACCCTGCAGAACCCAGTGGGCGCCCGTGGGTCCCCGAGACTGCCGTCTGTAGCGTCCCGGGGTTCTGACCTAAGCCTGCCGTGTGGCAGCCCCACTCCCTCGGCCCCCGGCGCGCTCCTGATTTTTTTTGGCTTCTCGCTGCTGCTCTGCCCAGCAGCCGTGGCGACACTCCGGTCACCCGCTGGGCAGCCTGCCAGCTCTTACCAGGTGTGCGCCCGGCCGGGGCCTCCGGCTGCTGGGGCAGTGGCACTAGGTTGGCAGCCCAAGGCTGGCATGTGGTCAGCTGTCACCGTTCTCTGAGGTTTGCTATGCGGGCGGCAGAGAGAGGGGACCTCTGGGTGGCCGTGCCCCAGAAGACACTGGGTCTCGTCCCGGGTGCCCTCGGCTTGGAGCGGGTGGAGGCAGGGCCACTGATCAGACCCTGCAGGGCCACGGACACCGCAGGGGATGAGGCTCCGTGTCTGCAGTGCCAGGGAGGCCCCGTGCAGGGTCAGACCCCTGATGCTGGTCCCCACCATGTCCCTCACTCCAAGCGGACCAGAAGCTGCCGCTGTCGTCCCTTGGACACTCTTGGGGACCCCGATGGTCGCACCCACAAGCACTGACCCACAGGCCAGGAGTGGGGGCTAGAGAAGCGTGGGAGGCCTGGCTGGGCTCCCCCACTCTGGCCCAGGATTGGGGTGCAAATGCGGGTGGCAGGGTGGTGGGTGGGCAGCCAGGGAGGCTTCCAGGAGGAGGCATCCTGGCTCCTGGCCCTGACACCCGTCCGTCCCCGCCCCCCAGCTCGGCCGCCACCCAGCCCATGGCAGACGATGTCTGTCACTAACAACATCGCACAGGCCCGGAAGCTGGTGGAGCAGCTCCGACTGGAGGCCGGAGTGGACCGCATCAAGGTGAGGGGCGCGGGGCGCGGGGCGCGGGCGGAGGGCACAGCCTGCCCTGGGGCGCTGTCTAACCCACCCTGTCGCTTCCTTCGTGTCTTTGTTCAATTTTTTTTTAAGAAGTAGTTTACTTAATTTTATTTATTATTGTGTGTAAATTTGACCAGAAAGAGAGAGAGCGAGAGAGAGAGAGCGAGCGAGCAAGTGGGAGAGCAAACCGCCAGTTACGAGGCTTGAACCGCAGTCAGCCGTGCGGGAGTCCCGCGCTCTAACCGCCGCACCACCTGCCAGCCAGCCGCTTGGTGGGATTTTTACAGCGAGGGCTCCTGGTCAGACCTGTGCCCTGCAGGGCCAGGCCGGCCACACTCAGAGTGGCTGCATGGTTAGATCCTGGCTGTGCGGACGCCGCGAGTTGAATTCACACAGTTCGAAAGGAGCCGCCTTGAAGTGCGTGACTCGGGGGTTCAGCGCCTTCATGAGGTTGTGCATCCACCCCGCTGTCTGGTTCCAGAACATTCCATAACTCCCAAGAGCAGCCCATCCCCTGGGCCATCACCCCTGCACCCCATCCCTGTGGACTTGTTCTCCTGCCGCTTCGTATGATGGGGTCCCACCCCATGTCCCCAGCATGGTCTGTTCAAGCCGTGCCCTGCGGCCTGCACCAGCGCCTCCTTCCTGTTCATGCCTGCGTAGTATTCCCCGTGTGACGGCCACATGGTGTTCATGTGGAGGAACAGAGCCCACATGGGGCCTCAGGGGGACATCTGGGGCTCACACGTCCCCTCTCGGATGACCCTGCAACCCCAGGTCCGCCGTGGCCTCCCTCAGGACCCTGCTCCACAGGGACCCCTCACCAGGTGGCCCACGAGAGGCCCCCTCCCGCCTCGGAGCCTGGATGACCAGCGGCCAGGCGAGGACTCGGGGGTCCGTGCAGAGGACCCGAGGATTGTGCCTTTGCTGTTTTCTGTTCATTTTTCGTTGCCGGGGTGCACGCACTTACCCTCAGGGAGCAGAACCCCGTGGGGCGTGACCGCACTGCAGTCCCTCCATGTTTCCATCCTGTGGGGTCCCGGGCACACCAGAGCCCAGAGCGGTTTCCAAGCTGCCGGGGCCAGGACTCAGACTCCAGCCAGCCACGTGTTTTTGAGAGGTTTTTGCTATAGGGCGTATGTGCCTACCAGAAAGACAGAGAGAGAGAGAGAACGCGAGAAATCGCCCCCCCAGGGTGGATGGCCACGCCGCAATCCCTTCTTCTCCATTCTCCTCTCGGGATCTTGGGCACACACGCACACGCGCCCGGCGTGAGTTTAAGCCACGGGGTCCAGGACTCGAACTGCGGTCGACTACATGAGAGTCCAGCGACATAGCCATGCCAGCTGCTGGTCCCGGGTTCTAGCTTCCTTAACCACCAGGCCACAGGGCTGGCCCGACACTGGGAGACAGTTTACTAAGCTTCCTGCACCAGCACTGCACGACGTTAGAGAAGCAGACCCCACGGTGCGTGTGCGTGCGTGTGCGTGCGTGTGGGGTCAATGATTGTTACGGGGCTGGCTCGGGGCTCCGGGGAGCCTGAGATCTGCAGGGCAGGTTGGCCGCCTGCAGACCCGGGGACAGCTGAGGCTGCAGCTCAGGGTGCAGGCTGCCCACAGGCACCGTTCCTGCTTCCTGGAGCCTCGGTCTTGTGGCCAAGGCCTTCCACTGATTAGGTGCAGCCCGCCCTCTGTGCTCAGTCTACGGATGCAAATGCTAGTGTCACCCAAAGCTGGCCCTCCCGCCACATCTACCTGCCCCCCCCGCCACATCTAGAATGACACGTCACTGAACAGGACAGGGTGCCACGGCCTTTCTGCACGGGCACAGAAGGCCAGCCTCGCCCCACATACTCAGTCGGGCTTCCATTCCGTGACACCTGCCTCTCGCCAGTCCCCACCACACACAGGGATCCGTCAGCAAGGGTGGCCTGGCCCCTGGTGGGGACACCGCCCAGGTGGCAGAGGGGAGTCAGAAAGGGGTCTGGTCACCTCCAGGCTGCCAGTCCAGCTCTGAGCCCTCCCGACACCCCGGGCCAGACAGATGCAGCGGGAGGGCGGCGTCTGACTAGGGGCGGCCTGAGCTCAAAGCATTCCTGGGTCTGGAGAAGGAGGAGGCCCCGGTTGAAGTGGTTTCCCTCGGGGGGCGGTGCCAGGCCCCCCCCCCGCCCTGCTGGGCGGTGACTCACCCTCCTCACCCCTTGAGAGTCTGGGCCCCCCCGCCCCCCCCACCTTTTTTTGGAGCCCCCACGGGGTGGCTCCCAGTCTCAGAGCTCCAGCAACCTCGGTGGCCGGCACGGTTCCGAGCCTCCCGTGGGCACAGGGGCGGCCGTGGCACCTGGGCGGCAGGGAGGGGCCCGCCCGGCTGTTTCCAGAGTGGGGAGACTATTTCTGTCCCCAGCAGGCTTCCTTCCCACACAAGCCTAGAAAGCGCACTGGGTCCGTGCCCCGGGCCGCCGGCTCCCGGAGTGGCGCTTGGCACCGGCGGGGGCAGGAGAGCTGGGCTGGCCAGACGGACCCTGGAGCACAGGGGCCGAGGCTCGCGCTGTCCCTGGGGCCTGGGATCGCGGTGCAGAGAGCCCGGCCCCCTCGCCTCGCTGTTGTCACCTGTCACCTGCCAGGCGAGGAGCCAGGCAGAGCACGGGGCTCGTGGAGCCCAGCGGAGGACACACATGTCCCCGTCCGCCCTGGTCTGTGACACCAGACACCCGTCCCCCCAGGGCTTGCAGCAGGGAGCAGTGAGGAAGCACCCAAGGCACCCCAGCCACCCGGCCGGGGGAGACGGGCGTGGCCAAAGGGGGGCCCACCCGTGGCCCCAGGTGTCAGCCTCCCCTGCTCCCTGAGCCCCCGGGTTTCAGGCTGCCATAGGACGTGAACTTGTCCCGCAGGCTCTGTCACTGCTAAGCTCCCTGGCCCCCGCCCAAGTGCCCAGCAGGGCGGGTGGGGGGGGCGTGGCTGCCCTCCTGTTCAAGGCCCAGCAGCTCCTGCTGGAGGAAGCCAGCCCTCCCTTTCTGACTTGCTCATCTTTTCAAAGCCTGTGGGAAGCGGCCACAGGTGGCATAGTGGTCAAGGCCCTGAATTCCTACGTAGTCTGACTGCGGTTCGAGTCCCAGACCCAGGGGCTTGAAACTCATGCCGGGTGTGTGCGTGCCCAGAATCCCAGTAGGAAGAGGGATTGCGCATGGCCATCCCCCCGGGGAATGGTGTCTCACTTTCTCTGTCTCTCCAGCGAGTGCATGCAGCCCATAGCAAAAATCTCTCTACAGTAAATAAATAAAATAAAATGTGGTAAAAACCACATCAGATCGGGGACCTGCAGGTGGCACTGTGATTAAGGTGCTGGACACTCTCACATGGCCAACCACAGTTCGAGTCCCGGACCTGGCAGCTTGCTTTCTCATTTCCTGTCTCTCTCTTTGTCTCTGTCTCTGGTCAAATTTAAAAAAAAAAAAAAAAAAACAAACCTAAATGGATGAATAAATTAATGTTAAAAACCACATCAGATCATATTGACCATGAGTGATCGAGAACACATTCCCAGGGCTGTGCTGCCAGCACTCTGTCTAGGTCCAGAACATTCCATCACCCCATGAGCAGCGCCCTCCCAGCCCTGCACCCACGAGTCCCCTCCCTGCGCCGTGGGCCCGCCTGTCCTGGGCGTTCCATGTCACGGGGTCCTCTCCTCCGTGGCCTGTGTGGGCCTGGGGCGTGATCCGGGTGCGGACGGCCCTGCGTGCGCCCAGCCATCCGTGCATGGGGCCAGGCCCCGAGCGCGGCGCGGCGCGGCCCTCACCTCCTCTCCCCGTGCCTCCGCAGGTCTCCAAAGCCTCGTCCGAGCTCATGAGTTACTGCGAGCAGCACGCCCGGAGCGACCCCTTGCTGGTGGGCGTCCCCGCCTCCGAGAACCCCTTCAAGGACAAGAAGCCCTGTACAATCCTCTAGCCGTGCTGCCTGCTCGGCCCGCGTCTCGTCTCTGTCTCTGTCTCTGTCTCTGTCTCTCCCAGGCAGGGCACAAGTGCTCAGCTCGAGCAGAACACCTCGGGTCGCCAACACGTTGAATTCCAAAGAGCATACCAGGCACGCACGGCTGGGGGGTGGGACGCGACCCCGAGGTTTAGACGCGGCCCGTCACAGGCCGGGCCATGCTCAGCGCGGCGGCCTTCCGGCCCGGCCCGGTGAGGGGTAGCGGGGCCGCCCGGCGATGTGACGCCCGCCTTGTGAGACTCCCGGCCGCCCCTCGTGTCGTGGGCTCGGGGCCGAGAAGGAACGGAGGGTGAATTCGCTCAGGGTCCTGGTGGCTGGCACAGGCCCCTCGCCATCGGCCATCTGTGAGGTTTCGCCAGGCTCCTGGAAGGCTTCTGGGTTGTTTGGTTTTGTTTTGTCTTAAACAGAGGTAAAATCGGGGTGAGGGGGAGCAGGAGGAACTTTCTAGAACATTCCTTCGTTTAGAAAGTTGTTACCCCACACCGCTAGCGCCGGGGGCCAGGCCCGCATCTGCAGCGAGACAGAACCGTGGGACGCGCGGCGAGGTCCCGGGGCTGCAGAGCGCACTCTGTGCCGGCAATGTCCCTCCCGTCTGGTCTTCGTCACCCCCAGCCATGCCGTAGGCCCTGCCCTGTCCTCGCCCCGTGTGGCTCGGAAACGGATCTTCGGGCTGGCCCGGGAGCGCTCACGTCCCACTGTTTAGGCACGAGGCGTCGGCGTGGTGGTTAGCTCTGGTTCTCAGCTCTCCGGTCTTGGCACCGTTCCGCGTCACGGTGGCCGGGGGCCGTTGCTCAGGCAGAAGGGGCGGCGGGCAGGCCCCTGTGCCTCGCCTGCGTGGAGCCGTCCTCTGTCCTTGAGTCGAAACGTTTCAGATTTGGCCGTTTGGCTTTCCCGCCCCGTCCAACCCGGAGCGGCTGGAGGGAGGTCGGGGGACGCGTCCTGTGCAGAATTGGCCGGTCACCCGGTCGGTCCCCGCTCCAGCAGCCTCAGGAGCAGATTCACTGTGGAGGGAGGGGCGGGGAGGCGGTTTAACAGTGTCCTCTGACGACACGGGCGGTGGCGGGGGCAGGGGGCAGGGGGCAGGCCGTGTGCACACCTGCCCACCTCGCCCACCACCGCCCCCAAGATGCACTGGAAGCAGCCGGGACCCGCACAGCCCTGGACTCTGGAGTCCCCGAGTGTCCATGGCCCTACTGGACGTCTGTGTCTGAGAACCCCTGGACAGCTGCCCTGCTTGTCCCCGCAGGCCCGGGGACAGGGCCGGAGCTGCCCCAGGGTGTCCCCATACTCCCCACTCCCACCCCGTCAGGGCAGTTGCCCAGGTCCCGCGTAGCCAGAGCTAGGGGTGCCAGGTGGGGCTCAGAGACAGAGCGGACGTGGGCTGGTCCCAGGGGGTACACACACAGGGCCGGGCTCGTCCCAGGCACCCAGCTCTCTACGGCAGGTCCGGGAGGGCCAGGGTTCTGGGGACCCCACCCTTAGGCCTACACTCAGGCCAGGAGGGCCACAGCCTCCCCTCTGGACAGGCAGGGGGTGGCAGCCTGGGGACGCCTCTCCTCCATCCCTGGCCGGGATAGCAGGAAGGGACAGAACGCCTCCCAGAGACCAGGGCCTGCCCGGAGCAGGGAGTGGGGCGCAGCGAGGGGCAGCTTGGAGGCTTTGGAGCCTGCCGGCCTTGGAGGGGGGAGGCAGGCCTGGCCTGCGCGACCCCGCCCCACCGGACTCTGGCCGCAAACCCACTCAGCGAGTGGGAGCCCTACCCCCCCCGCCCCGTCTCTTTCAACGAAGCCTTAATCCTGTGAGCGGATGTCACGTCCTCACACCATCCTCCCGCCTTCACGCCCACAGTCCAGGGGTTCGATCCTCCCCCCAGCTCTCGGCCCCATGCCCTGCCGAGAGGAGGAGGGCACAGCTGTGTCCAGGCCAGCCCCCCACCCCATGTGTCCGCACGGATGCGACCCCAGAGGAGTCAGCTGGAGCAGGGCCCCCGGGATTCGCAGCCCCCAGGCAGCCAGTCGCTCCTGAGCCGAGGGTTAGGGTGAGACCGAGCCTCGGGCTCGCCCCTGCACTGGACCCTTAGCCCGCAGGCCGTGGGCACAGGCCCTGCGGCCCGCAGAGAGGGCCCCGCACGGACTCGCAGCACCCAGGTAGGCCGAGGCCCGAGAAGGGACTCGTGCCGCCTCCCTGCACTGGGGGCCTCAGCTGCCGCTCTGGCTGTCCCCGCCCGAGCCTGCCAGCCGGTGACCGCAGCCTGTACCCCAGCGAGGCGGCCAGTGACATGAGCCTGTACGCCTCTCTGTGACTTAGGGAACAACCTCCCCCCTTCTAGGGTCAACCCGAGGGGGCCTGCAGCCCTGACACCCCGGTGGCCAGCCGGAACCGCGCCCTCTCTTAGAAACCTCTGGGCACCTCCAGGCAGGGGCCGCCATTGGGTGGCCGCAGCCGTGGGGACGCCAGCTCTCAGCCGTGTCAGGGGACATGAGGACTTCGGTGTACGAAACACAGCCACCCACACCGCATAGAACGAGGCAGGGCGGGCGGGAAAGGGGGGG